CACGGAGCGCGAGATCGTGACCTGGCTGAAGTCGGACGCTTAACCGACTGCGCCACCCAGGCGCCCCAGGAATTTCCATTTTTTTATTTTCGGAGCAATTCGATAGGAACAGGCCCTACGACGCTCTGTCTTGGAGACTGAGTTGAAGGACGCGGGCACGATGACCAGACTTAAGGACCAGTTTGAACTTACGGGACCGGTTTGGATATTAACTCCATCCGAAGCAGATGTGGAATGTTAACCAACATTGACCGAGACAGTTGGGTTAAACTTGCAACTACCTTTGAGCCCCAAACATGACTTAATCGTTCTCCTTCGGAAAGGTTTTAGAGCCAGTTCTGACCCATCTTCAGTCCTTTGGAGAGCAGTAGGTAATGTGTAACAGCACTTCCAAAACATATTTACTTCCGAGATCCTCACTGCTCTGTGTGATTACTGCAAAAGCAACAAAACCAAAGTACAAATGTGTCAGAAGACATCTGCGGGGACCTCCTTTAAAATTTTTTTTTAATGTTTATTTATTTTTGAGACAGAGAGAGACAGAGCATGAATGGGGGAGGGTCAGAGAGAGGGAGACACAGAATCCGAAACAGGCTCCAGGCTCTGAGCTGTCAGCACAGAGCCTGATGCGGAGCTCGAACTCACAGACCGTGAGATCATGACCTGAGCTGAAGTCAGACACCCAACCCACTGAGCGACCCAGGTGCCCCAAGGTTGCTTTTTAAAGTATTGCATATTAATAAAGTCATATTTAATAACTTAGGGTGCCTGGGTGGCTCAGTCAGCTAAGTGTCTGACTTCGGGTCAGGTCATGATCTTGTGGTTTCTTGAGTGCCAGTCCCAAGCTGGGCTCTGTGCTGACAGCTCAGAGCCTGGAGCCTGCTTCAGATTCTGTGTCCCCGTCTCTCTCTGCCCCTCCCCTGCTCATTTTCTGTCTCTCTCTCCTTCAAAAATAAATAAACATTAAAAATATAAAAAAAAAATAAATTGTGTAGGTGGGTTATGTTACTTGTGAATCTCTTTTAGGATCATCAAAGTGGTGTGGTAAAATATGTTATAAAAAGAGGGTGTTGGGCCTGACAGAGCTGAAAACAAGTGCCCCAAAACAGGGAGTCTCAAGGAGGGGCAATTTTGCCCCCAGGGGATGTTTGGTGATGTATGGAAACATCATTTCAACTGTAGGAAAGTGCTCCTGGCATGTAACGGGTGTGGGCTAGGATGCTGCTGAAAACCCTACAGTGCACAGGAAGCCACCACGACAAAGAATTATCCCCCCAAATGTCTATAGGGCTGAGGCTGAGAAACCCTGATCTATCAAAACTCCTGCACAGATGCCCAGAAGATGTACACAATGGGTTCAATACACCCAGAGCAGCATTGCTTACACTAGAACACAGCTGGAAGCAATCCAAATGCCTGCAACACTTATCCAATGAGATAAATGTCATATGGTAGTGGAATATTACACATCCATGAATAGTGAATGAACAATATCATGAATGAATCTCAAAAATGTGTTGAATTTTAATTTTAAGAACATTTTTTAACATCTATTTATTTGTTTTAACGTTTATTTATTTTTGAGACAGAGAGAGACAGAGCATGAATGGGGGAGGGTCAGACAGAGAGGAGGAGGCACAGAATCTGAAACAGGCTCCAGGCTCTGAGCTGTCAGCACAGAGCCCGACGCGGGGCTTGAACTCATGAACCGCGAGATCATGACCTGAGCTGAAGTCAGAGGCTTAACCGACTGAGCCACCCAGGCGCCCCTAACGTCTATTTATTCTATAAATCTAAAACAGTACCAAAAATAAAATCTGCTCTTTATTTTGAAAAGCAAGTTGATAATTTTCTGAGCCTGGACCCTAACCGCATTGTATGTATGGGCACAATGTATTATTTGTGAGGTTTGAAAATACACAGCATTCTTCGGTAACACAGCCACCGTCTAGGTAGAGGGACAGCTGCACTTGGTTTTGTTTGGAACTTTGCCAAGACTGGGTCACTATTTCAGAAAATCACAACACCAATAGCGAACTGGTGGTCTCTGAGCGGCTGGCTCACCGCTCACTGGTATTGTGTGTGCCCTGGCAGACGATGGATTCCCTGTGGTTTTATAAAGGGGGCCAGTATCCACCTGCTCCACAGGGCCTGGGCATTTACATGCTCAAACACACATGATTTTATTACTAAATACTCTTACTTATCCCGTATGGTACAACTAGGACATTATACTGACATTAAATTTGTTTTCATGTTTAGTTTTTTTTTTTTTAAGTGTATTTATTTTGGGAGGGAGAATGTGCACACACACACAAGCGGGGAAGGGGGAGAGAGAGAGAGAGGGAGGGAGAGAGAGAATTCCAAGCAGGCTCCGAGCTCTCAGAGCAGGGCCTGACCCAGGCTCCGTCTCGCAAACTGTGAGATCATGACCGAAATCGAGAGTCAGACGCTTAACTGACTGAGCCACCCAGGCGCCCCTACGTGACATTTTTTGTGCAGAGGTAGGTTTTGTTACATATTAATTCACTGCAGGCTAGCAACAAAATATTTGTTATTAAAAGGATGACTGAGTCCTATAGAGTTGAGAACCTCTCCTTTCAACTGAAATCTAAACCCCTTCCTCCGCCCTCAGGCCTGTCCTAACCAGCCCTCTCTGTCCCAGAGGCTCAGCCCCCTGCTCCCACCAGGCCTGCCGAAGGGATCTATTTGTATGTCTCAGAATGTACCAGCACTCTCACGTCCCTGCTCTTGGTACAAGCTGTTCTGTCCCCGAGATTCCCTCACCTCCTTCACTCACGCCTCAACAAATGCAGTGTCCCCGAACCTCAGTTGTTCATGTCCTTACGTTCGACCTGCGCCACAGCTGTGCCCTCCCTGCAGTCCCTTTTACTGAATTTTCTTTCTTTTTTAAAGATCTTATTTATTTTTAAGTTTTATTTATTTATTTTGAGGGGGGAGGGGCAGAGAGAGAGAGAGACAGACAGACAGACAGAATCTGAAGCAGGCTTCAGGCTCTGAGCTGTTGACACAGAGCCCACCGTAGGGCTCGAACCCATGGACTGCAAGATCATGACCTGAGCCTAAGTGGGAAGCTTAACCAACTGAGCCACTCATGTGTCCCCCCCCCCAAGATTTTATTTTTAGGTAATCTCTACACCCAGTGTGGGGCTCGAACTCACAAGCCCGAGATTAAGAGTCGCTAGATCCATTGACTAAGACAGCCAGGCGCCCCTACTTAATTTCCTTTAAATGACTCGTTTTTCATAAATTAATTTTTTGAATTTACATTAAATTATAAGCAAATTTATCTTTTGTCTTCTATACCTTTTTATTTAGGCATAGTTGACACACAATGTTACATTAGTTTCAGGTGTACTATAAACACATTTATTTTTAAATAAATTATAAAAATTTAATATTTCATTATTTAACAAGCTTATATTTTAATTTATTTCTATTTAATCTTTATTTAATTCTAATAAACTTATGAACATTTCTTTATTAAATTAGACATAATTTTATTTTTCAAAGAAAAGGGTACATCATTATTATAGGAAGCTAGCATCCATAGTCCGAAAAATAAAGCAACAATAAAAACAGAGAGAAGGAACATAAAAGTTATGAACCTCTATTTATATTGAAATTGTCAACAGAAACCCTGATGCCAGCTTTTTGTTAGAGAAAGAAGGAGAGAAACCAAGAGACCTTAGAATCACGTTAGCACCAATGGGGCACCTGGGTGGCGAAGTCGGTTGAGCGTCCGACTTCAGCCAGGTCACGATCTCGCGGTCCGTGAGTTCGAGCCCCGCGTCAGGCTCTGGGCTGATGGCTCAGAGCCTGGAGCCTGTTTCCGACTCTGTGTCTCCCTCTCTCTCTGCCCCTCCCCCGTTCATGCTCTGTCTCTCTCTGTCCCAAAAATAAATAAATGTTGAAAAAAAAAATTAAAAAAAAAAAAAAAAAAGAAACACGTTAGCACCAAGTTGAGACTTTCCCCTTGACATATTCTGGAGGCTTGAAAGCAAATTGAAAAGAGAATAACTTTCTCTTTCAGTGTAATTTAATGCTGTCTCTGTTCTCCCTCAAATCACTTGTGTGTTATTACAATCCATTTATTCACCAAGTATTTATCAAACACCTACTACGAACCAGTCAGTAGTACTAGATGTTTGCAATAATAAAACACTGAACCAGGCAAACACAGTCTTTGCCCCGTAGACTCCCAGTCGGCTAAAACACACACACACACACACACACACACACGTAATCTGGAAGGGATCATAAAATTTCATTACTTATGGCAGTAATTTGCAATTTAGATCAGCATTTATATGCACCGTGACTGCGGAGCAAACAAACCCACTTGTAAATTCCATGAGTTAGAGCAAATTAATTTCAAAATGGCCATGGTCTATAATCTTTTCAAAGTTTTGCACAGAAAAAAAAAAAAAAAAAAAAAAAGAGGTGGGAGGTAGGTGCATCTTCATAGGTTTGATGTGATGAGACCCGGGATCGCCGAAAGTTGTTTGTTTGTTTGTTTGTTTATTTGTTCGCTCGTTTAGCGGCGGTGGTGGGAGGGCACCTCCGGGTCACCCTTTCCTCCTGAGCCTTTGCTTAACCCCTTGCTGCCCCGAACGCAGCTCCTCGGTCACCGGGAAGCCCGCCCGGATGCCCCGCTGGGCCCACGCCTCCGCAGTGCGCCCCCAAAGACACGGAGCTTCTCCGGGCACCCGCTTGGAGGAGAAGAGGCAGTCTGTCTGTCTGTCTTCCAGACCCGCCTGGGGACGCCTGGCCCTCTCCTCGGTCTCCCGAAGCACCCAGCTCCGCGCAGCCCTCCAGGACCGCTGGCGGCAGACGCTCAGGTTACCCCTGGGCGAGCCGGCTCCCCGGAGGGCTCGGCGTCACCCCGCGCGGCACGGCTCTGGCACCACCTCCGAGCTGGCGGCGGGGGAAGAAGCCGCACCAGGTCGGCTCCCCAGCTCCGGACGGAGGAGGGGCGGGGTACCTCCCCCACCGCAGAGGGGTGCATATCTGCATATTCAAACCGCAGAGGTCCGAGACGGGAGCCCGCGGAGAGGGGAGACAGCAGGGGACCTTCCCGGGGCAGCCGCCTCTAAGCCGCACGGGATGGCGAGGGTAGCCGTGCGTGCCGGGACCGCGAGGTCGAGCAGGGTCACAGGCTGGAGTCCGGAGTCCCCGCCGGGGGGAGGTAGGGAGGGGTGGTGCGACCCTCTGTCCCCGCCCCGGGGGCGGAGCGAGGTTCGATCCTGCGGAGCTTGACACCCGCAGAAATCGTTCCAGGCCTTCCTCCCCAGCTCCCGCTTCGTCCCCGCCCCTTTCGGGGAGACTCGACCCCCTCCGCGCTCTGTCTACCGCCCGCAAGACACAGCCTCCCGGGTTTTCTGGCCCCCGGGCCCCGGCGTAGGTGCAGGTGCAGCACCCAACCTCCTTCCCACCCCGGCGCATCCCGCTGGGCGGCCATGGCGCGAGGAGACGCCCCACAGGACAGGCGAGTTGGGCACTGGGTGGGGTGCGGACGAGGATCCGGGGGGCGGTGGGCAGCGCAGACCCGCTCCCTTCGGGAGCTCCAAGGCTCAAAGCGGACTGGATGGAACTACAATTCCCATCAGCCGCCGCCCTGGGCTGCCTGAGCCGGAGTGATGGGGGTTGTAGTCCGCTCTCCGGAGGGGGCGACCTGGGAGGCGTGGAGGGGGGGGCGGCAGCCGAGGCGTCGCGTCCTAGGGGTGACCTTCTGACTGATCCCCACAGCTACCACCTGGTCGGGATCAGCTTCTTTATCCTGGGGCTGGGCACTCTCCTTCCCTGGAACTTCTTCATTACGGCCATCCCGGTGAGACTCGCGGCTGGAGTGCCAGCCCCATGGCCACAACCACCATCGCCTTGGACCAGAGGCGTGCCAGGCGCTTTCCACACCATGCCACCTTTGACTCCTCATTATGCCCGTTTGCACGTTTGTCCGCTGAAGCACCGAGCCTCAGAGAGGGCGAGTGCCCCTTTCACGGATAGGAAAGGCCAAGCTTTCAGAGATGCCCGGATCCTACAGGGGCAAGGCTACCAGCTCGGGGGAGGGGGGGAGGGGTGGGGGGTGGGGCTCTGGAACTAGCAAAGAGCTACCCACCCACCACCCCTGTTTGTCGTTATTCCCTGGTTAAGTCATCCCTGGGCTAACCCACTCCAAAAGCGGATTATCCAAGCACGGCTTACATTCATTCATCCACCAGTTAGTAACGTGTACCTACTGTGAACCAGGCCCTGTTCTTGGCACTGGGGCTGCAGGAGGAAACATAACAGAGGGAGCCTGCATCCTCATGGAGCTTACATTCTCTCAAGGGAAGGAAGAAATGTGGGGTTTGTGTTCTTTTTGGGACTGGGTTATTCATATACATTCAGTTCAACAACTTTCAAGATGTCTCTTCAGTGCCTGGCTCTGTGCTGGGCCCCGGAGACTCAAAGATTAATCAGCCCCTGGTCTTGAGAGAGAGCTGGGTGCAAAGAGCTATTAATAATGTAACATGACACTCAGCATCCCAGGCTTGGAGTAAAATCCAGTAGGCCCCCGGAAGGGGGGGGGGGGAGTGATTCCTTCTGCTTCACAGAAGAGGTGATTTGTAACTTGGGAGAAGGGTAGGCAAAGCATGGTGTTTGGCCGGGGTGATGTGGGGGGGGGGGCGTGGGAGGAAAGGGAGAAGGCATTCCAGGTGGAGGTGACAGCGATGCAGCCTGTTCAGAGAAAGGGCCAGAGCCTGGGGTACCTAAAGCTTAGCAGCAGAGCACCAGATGCGGCACAAAAGAGAGGCTGGGCTCTGGTCCCGAAGGGCCCCAAATGCCATTCTAAAAGCTCAGGGTTTTGCCCCGCAGGGAGCCATGGGCAGTGGCGGGGGCGGGGGGGGGGGGGGAGGACGGATGGGGAGGTTAAGCAGACACTGCACGAGTATGAGTTCTAGAGAGAATGCAGTTGGTCAGCACCTAGGCCAGGGCCTGGCTTACAGTAGGCACTCAACGAATACTCAGCAATCTGGAAGCTGCTGCAGGAGTGGGGGATGAAGGCTGGAACCCGGGCACCGAAGATTCAGAGATGGAGCAAGGCCCAGGGTGGGGGTTCTTAGGGCTTGGGCCCTGTCCCAGCCCTCTGCTGTTCAATTCAGTGCACATTCATCGAGCTCCCACTGGGTGCCAGGTGCTGGGATCAGTACAAGGACAAACAGACAGCTCTCGCGGACGTTAACTGAGCAATCCCAAGCATGGGGGGAGGCAGAGGGGGAAGGCTGGGGGGTTCCTCAGGGTAGGTTGGAGGGTGACCCCGTACCCCCTCCTCTGGCATCCTGTCAGTACTTCCAGGGGCGGCTGGCAGGGGCCAACAACACCGCTGGGACCCTGGGCACCAACCACACAGGCCCTGCAGACACTTTCAACTTCAACAACTGGGTGACGCTGCTGTCTCAGCTGCCCCTGCTGCTCTTCACTCTCCTCAACTCCTTCCTGTACCAGTGGTGAGAGGCCTTGCCCCTCGGGCTCCCCACCCTCCGTGGCCCCTCCCCCGCCCAGCTAAGGAAGCTCCGTCCGGGCCCAGGTCAGAGCTCCCATCCTTCCTCCACGCCCCCTGCACGTCCCCTCCAGGTCCCTCTGTCCAGCCCTGGCCTCAATCTCTTGCCCACCTCCCCCTGCCTGGCCTGGGCCCAGCTGATGTCCACTCTGCCCCTCCTTGTGAGCAGCATCCCTGAGACGGTGCGGATTCTGGGCAGCCTGCTGGCCATCCTGCTGCTTTTTGCCCTGACGGCAGTGTTGGTCAAGGTGGACATGAGCCCTGGGCCCTTCTTCTCCATCACCATGGCCTCTGTCTGGTTCATCAACTGTGAGCACCGCTGCCCCTCCCCACCTCCCCACCTCCCCACCTCCCCACCTCCCCACCTCCCCACCCAAGTTCACCCAGGGCTTTAGCCCAGCCTCTTCTTTGTAAGTGAAAAGGGCCCCACGTATCCAAGAAGGGAGGACAGCAGCCCTCCTATCCCTGATGAGAAACCAAGGCCCAGAGGGGAAGAAAGAAACCACTTGTCCCAAACCCAGAGTGACCTAAGATGAGGCCTCCTGGCCCCAGGCGCCTCAGACCTATGGCTACACCTGAGCAGAGGAAAGAATGGGGGCTGATACACCAGAGGGCCCAGAGTCTCACACCTGCCCAACTTAGTGCAGAGTCTGCCAGCACCTCCTCCGAGAAGCCTCCAAGGCCTGTCTAGTTGAGCGGCGGCCCCCACTCCTATCCCTCCACAGCCTTCTGTGCAGTTCTGCAGGGCAGCCTCTTCGGGCAGCTGGGCACCATGCCTTCCACCTACAGCACCCTCTTCCTCAGCGGCCAGGGCCTGGCTGGGATCTTCGCTGCTCTTGCCATGCTCATGGCCATGGCCAGTGAGTGGAACTGGGTGGCTGGAGGGCAGGGGTGGCCTCTGGGATTCTGGGAGCAGAGACAGTGTGCTAGGAGTGAGATGCCTTTGGTTCTGGTAAAGATGGAGGTGATGGGAAGCTGGGGGTTGGGTTTGGGGACAGGGAGTAGGGTTCTTGGGCTCTACAGTGAGAGAAGGACCAGGTAAGGAATGGGTTACCATAGGGCCAGGGGCAGGATTCCTGAGGCTGATAGTGGTTTGTGGCAGCAACCTGGGTTTGAGGGAAGGGGGGGACAAGTTTGAGATTCAGATAAACTTGGTCCAAATCCTAGTTCCACTGCTCCCCAGCCAGGGACACTGGACAGGGCACTTCGCCTGTGTCAGTTTTCCCGCCTAAATGATTCTTACAGCTCTGTCCCCAGATTGTAAGGTGTATGCAGTAATAATGAGCACGTAACAGGTGCTCAACAAAAATGACAAGTAGGGAGGAGTGAGAGAAGCAAAGGGCAGGGCTGGGCTGGGGCCCTGCACAGGTTCCTGAGTTTGTCAGTGAGCGGAGGCCTGGAGGTGAATCTGAGAAGTGCATGACGGGAAGTGGGACAGGAGGCTTCAGCCGCCGTGGGAGCCAGTGGAACCAGCCCCCTCCAGTCTGCAGCTGAAGTTTCTGCACAGGTGGCGTGGATGCCCAGACCTCCGCCCTGGGGTACTTCGTCACACCCTGCGTGGGCATCTTCACGTCTATTGTGTGTTACCTGAGCCTGCCCCACCTGGTGAGCCTGGTATTGGGCTCAAGGCCCCACTTCAGAGCATCTCAGATACAGCTCTGAGTCTGAGGCCCTGAGAGGGGCCAGGGGAGGAGGAGGGGACCTGATCCCCAAAGGAGTCAGCCCCTAGGGGACTCCAGCCTCTAAGTCGACAGGGTGGAGAGGGATCCGGACACCTCAGCCAAGCCAGGCAGGGCCAACGCTTTCCTTCTGCAGGAGTTCGCACGCTACTACCTAGCCAAGAAACCATTGCAGGCGCAAGGTCAGGAGCTGGAGACCAAAGCTGAGCTCCTCCAGTCTGGTGAGCTGGGGCCCCTGCTGGGGAAGTGGAAGACCCAGGGGAGGCCGAAGCTACCTCCACAGGGAAGGGTCTTTCCTCCGTCCCCATCTAGAGTCCTCCCCCTGGTAGCCTTGCGTGAGCAGACACAGAAGATCATGAAGGGAACTCAGTGGGAGTCAAGTCATCCCTGCTGCCTTTTGGGCGTCGGTTTTCTCCTCTATAAAATGGGGGGACAGTAGAGCTCCAGCATGCTCGTTCTGACAACATCTAAGCTGTGTGACCTTAGGCCAGTCACTTAACCCCTCTGAGCCTCAGTCTCTTTATTTGCAAAGGAGTAGCAGTGAGATAATCCACCTAAGGTGCTTAACTCTGCCTGGCACATGCGTGTGCTTAATAATAGTAGCTTAGCATCTTTCCATAGTTAATTCTCCTTGCCGACATCCTGAGCTGGAGGAGGGTCACTTGTTTTGACTGCTGGGAATTGCCCTCCATCAAGCCTGGCTGTCACCGGCATGACCCTGCCCTCCCCTCTTGCCCCAGATGAGAAGAACAGTATTCCCAACAGCCCCCAGAAGGTAGCCCTGACTCTGGACCTTGACGCTGAGAAGGAGCCAGAGCTGGAGCCAGAGGAGATCCAGAAGCCAGGAAAACCTTCAGTTTTCATGGTCTTCCAAAAGGTTCGGCTTGGCCATGGCCCCCAACCACCATCCCTGGGGAAGAGAGAGCTGCTCTCTCCAGCCCTCTTTAAAGACCCTTAGAATGGAATGGGGCCTTAAGACTTGCGTCCGCTTCAAGGTATCAGGGTCATAGTGGGCCAGGAACACAGTTAGGCCAGGCCCCAGGTGTCCTGTGCCCTGGCCGGTGCTTGGCGCTTGGGGGTTGGGGCTGCACGTTGGGCTCTAATCCGCCCCGCTGCTTACACCCCTGCCTCTGGCTCCCAGATCTGGCTGACGGCGCTGTGCCTTGTGTTGGTCTTCGCAGTCACCCTGTCTGTCTTCCCCGCTATCACAGCCATGGTGACCAGCTCCACCAGTCCTGGGAAGTGGAGTGAGTGTTGGGAAGCAGAACAGGGCAGGGCAGGGGAGAGGGAGGGAGGAGGAATGAAAGGGAGGAGGAGGGAAGAGGAAGGAGGGACCAGGATGAGCCCTCTTTCTCTCCCAGGTCAGTTCTTCAACCCTATCTGCTGCTTCCTGCTCTTTAACATCATGGACTGGGTGGGGCGGAGTCTGACCTCTTACTTCCTATGGGTGAGCATACCTGGGCTGGGGGGGCCCGACGGTTTCAGGAAGCAGTTGGAGATCAGAGGGTGTGAAAGAGCACAGAAAGGTGGTTTCCTAAAAGTCTGACCACTCTAGGTCTGGCAACAGAACAGCTGGCCAAGAGGTAGTGAGCACCTGGCCCCTGGAGGTATGCAAGCCAGGGCTTGGACTGTGAGCTCCTTGAAAGCAGAAGCCACGTCCAAATGGCCTATGTTCCCCAGCCTCCAGCCCAGAACCCAGCCCTCGGTCCTCAGGGAATGTTACACGGAGGTTCCCGTACCAAATGAGACGCTGGACAAGATTCTAGTGTTTGGACTGCTTTTAGCCAAGGTGCTCCTTCTTTAAATGAAATCTTCCAAGGAGATACAATAAATAAAGGAGATTGAAGAGGAGTTGCTCTGATCCAAGCTAGGATGGGGCCTGGATCCCCGGCTTCCAACCCCATTCAGCAACCCCATGTGCCCCGAAGGGGTCTGCGGAACCCCCAAGGGTACTTGGAGGAACCCGGCTTGAAAACCAAAGATGGTGTCTAAGGTCTCTTCCAGTTCTGCCACGGAGAGAGCCCAAGCTGGAGCTCGGAGGGGCAGAGGCGAGCCCCAGGCCAGTCCCTGATGGCTGGGTGGCCTTGGCCCAGCCCCTCACTCTCCGGAGGCCCAAGGGCCGGGTCCTCACCGGCTCACGTAGAGTCACAGGTCAGGGGAAGTGACAGTCTGTCCGGGGTGGGCTCCGGGCACCTCCCTCACCCCGGCTTCTGCCACAGCCGGATGAGGACAGCCGGCTGCTGCCCCTGCTCGTCTGCCTGCGCGTCCTATTCGTGCCTCTCTTCATGCTGTGCCACGTGCCCGAGAGGTCCCGGCTGCCCGTCCTCTTCCCGCAGGATGCCTACTTCATCACTTTCATGCTGCTCTTCGCGGTGTCCAACGGTTACCTGATGTCCCTTACCATGTGCCTGGCGCCCAGGTCTGGGGGTCGGGAGGGTGGGCCTGGGCGTGGGGAGGTGGCCTAGCTCTTCTTGAGGGGGACGGCCTGCAGGAGAGGGTCCACTCTGCTTCCCGCCAGCCCAGCCCTGGCTGTCTCTAGGTGCCAGCCACCCTGTCAGGTCAGGCCTTCCCTGCCGAGCCGGCCCCGGGGCAGGAATGGAGAGGAAGCCCCAGCCCGGGAGGTTCCTGCCAATAAAGTAGCCCAGGCACTGGTTCTAGGACCTCCTCTCTGGGCCTGTTTCCTCACTTGTGAAACAAATGGGTTGAACTATCATTCCTTAGGGCCCAGCTACTCCCCCCAGATTCTCAGCTGAAGGGGAGCGAAGGTGTTGATCAAAAGTGGAGGGTTCATGGACTATTTATGCTAGGGACAACGGAGCTGAGAATCCAGAGAGAGGAAAGGTGACGGGGACAACCAGGCTGGGGACGTTTTGTCAAGAGGGAAGGCAGTGGAGTCTAGAGTCCTGTAATATTGGACTTGCAGGGCATGAGAGATGTCCCCATCAGTGGCCTCGTTTTACAGATCGGGGAAACTGAAGTGAGGTGTCCTGTCGTAAGGGGGGCACAGGGCACTGGGGCTGGGTCCAGGATTGGCCCGATGTTTTCTAAGAGCCTACTGCCGTGTGTTCTAGGCAGGTGCTGCCACACGAGAGGGAGGTAGCCGGCACCCTGATGACCTTCTTCCTGGCCCTGGGGCTCTCCTGTGGAGCCGCCCTCTCCTTCCTCTTCAAGGCGTTGCTCTGAATGCTCCGTTCCGGGCTCGCCCACGGCTCTCTCTTCGCTACCCCTTCGGAGCTGAGACCCCCGTGCAGGGGGAATGGCGAGCCGGGCCCAAGCCTCTGCTGGGCTGGTGCCCCTCGGTCTGGAAGTGCCACTTGGAAGTGGGTGCTGCTCTCCTTCCCGGGCTGGTGTCCGTTTGGGGGCTGCGAGGAAGAATTCACCAGCGGTCATTCTAACCCCCCCGCCCCCAGCAGTGGAGCTGAATCACAGAGACAGACTATTCAGAGGCACACAAGACCTCTCTGCACAGGTGCCGATCAGGGAAAGAGGGCCAAGGACCATGGCCCTTCCTCACCATCAAGAGTACATTTGTTAATCTCAAGACACGCACTTGCTGATCTGTGGCAACTGGAGGCCACCAGCGGGGTCTTGCCACAGGCGTGGCTGCTGGGGCCCAGCCTGGGGTTCAGAGTGGGAGTGGGGGCCAGCCCTTCCAGGGCAGGCCTGCCCCTCCCCAGGCCTTAGCAACTCCACGATCGGATGTCTCAGACCCCAGGGCAGAGGATGCCTGGGGAGGCCAAGGGCAGCAGGGAGAAGGAACGGGCATTAGGGATCTGAAGGTACTCAAAGGACCATCTGGGCCTCACACAGTGTTTGCGTAGCCAACACTTACTGTCCCCGCTCCCCAGAGCCCGGCTGGGCCTGGGTCCCGGAGCTGCGGGCGGCTTACATGTGTGCACCCCACTTTACAATTTGCAAAGCTCTCCCACACCCATTCTCTTACGGAAGCCACGTTGAGACACTTGGGGGAGCCAGGCAGGGACGGTGCTGTCCCTCTGTACAGGTGAGGAAACCGGATCTCGGGGGGAAATGACCTGGTCCGTGGCTGAGCCGGGACCCAGCCCCCACCTCTCTCCTCCCTATAGGTGCTGTTCTTCCTGCCCACTGTTTGCTTCTCCTTCCCTCACGAGGCTCGAGGCAGGAGTCCTAAGCACTTGCTCCCCACTTTTTGCTGTTTTCCTTCCAAACCCACTCCTGGGTCTAATAACAACCTTCTTCATTTGTATCATCAATTCACGGAGTCTTTATTTCCAAAGCGCTTTGATAAGCTGGGTAGGGTAGGGCTAATTGCACCCATTTGACAGATGGGATGACTGAGGCCCTGAGAGGGGCAGGGATCCGTGGGCATCCCTCTGCTGGGCCCTCTTGACCACATCATGTCCTGTGCTCCTGGGCAAAGCGCCTGCTGCATGGACAGCTATTGGTTTCCCCCTCCACTGGTGTCCCCTGCCTCCCCAGGCCCTCCTTCTCAAAAACGGAGCCTCAGAGAGGCAGTCAGCCAATTTTCTAGAGGGACGGAAGAAAGGCTTGCCCCACCACACATCCGTACTACCCTGCCCAGCCCAGAGAAGAGCACAGGTTTTTGCTTTTAGAGGCGCCGGCCTTTCTGCCCACTTGCCCTTCTGCCTTCCATGAACATTCCCTGAAGCAGCTATTATACACCAGGCGCTGAGCCAGCACAGGGCCCCTGCTCAGAGGTAAGATGACCGATATGACCTCGGCAGCTGAAATGAAGCCACAGGGGAGACCCCAAATGACCACTATTCACTGTGCCAGGCCCTGGCTGGTCTGGTGACCCTGAAACAAAGGAGACACAGTCCCTGCTCCCAAGGCCAAGGAAGCAGAATGTAGCAGGTGATGGGGTCTGTGAGGGCCCTGCAGAAGCGTGTAGTGTAAGAGTCCAAAAAAGGATGCCTGGATTCCTCTTGGAAGTCAGGGTGGCAGCCCTGAGGCCTCAAGAGAAGAAAAATGAGTTTCCTGGGCTGAGGTGGGGGAGGGGCATCCCAGGCAGAGGTACCAGGGAGGGTGGAAGGCAGACACTGAACATTCAGGGGGCAGTGGGAACTTCTTGGGGGGGGGGGGCACCCCGGATGTGCGCGCGGGCGCGGGGGGAGAGGGTAAGGATGAAGCAGTGGGTTGGGAACAAATGGTGAAAGGCCTTAGTGATGAGACCCGAATAGGGGGTTAGACAGAGGAGGAGAGATCCAGGAGAGAAGAGGGTGGTGGCCTCTTCAGAGGCCATTTAACTCAGCGGCTAAATGCACGTAAGCTGATCTAGCATTCTGGGGTCAAAGCCTGGCCCTTTCATGTGTAAGCAGTGAGCATCGGGACTTTCAGAAAGTCCTAGGGAGAGGGTGGGGCTGGAGTACAGACTGGATCCACCAGACAGTGGTTGTGGTCCTGGAGGTACCAGCACGGACCACAAGGTCTAGCCGTACCCTTGGACTGGGAAATGTGAGGACAGGACCACACACTTCCTGACCCCCTTCTCCTTCTCCACCTTCACAGACCGTTGTCTGTTGAACCCAAGGCTTCCTAGACCTGCCAGACACCCCCCGCCTCTCCCAGGCCAGGCAACAGTCCCAGGAAACCCACTGGTGCCAGTCCACAGTCATCTGGAGCAAGCCCACGGTAGGCTGAGCAGTGGAGGATGCTTTCTGGGCCCAGAAAGAGGACACTCACCCCTCAGAGGTCCTTATGATGTCACAACCTTCCCATCCTCCTTCCCGGCAGACCCAGCCCAACTTGCCCATTAGATCAGTATGTAGCTGGCTTCCGATGCTGGAAACAAATACTGGGACTGATGGGCTGCACCTGCTCCTTCCTCTCCTGATTCCAGTCCTCCGGGCACTGCCACCTCCCCAGCCTGACACGGCTCTGCCAGCAGGCCCAGATTCCCTCAGAAGCAGCCAGCTGCCATCAGCAGACGCTCGTAGGGAGCTCTATGTGGCAAGTACCGAGATAGGCCTGGTGGAGAGACACAAACATTTGAGAAACCAGTCCTTACTAGTTTCTTACCCTTTTATGCGCAAGAGGCCTCCTGGTTTGTGAATTGATTCAACTTTCCAATTAAAAGGCAGAGGCTGTTAGATGGATTAAAAATGATTTAACCAGGGGCGCCTGGGTAGCTCAGTCAGCTAAGCGTCCGACTTCAGCTCAGGTCATGATCTTGTGGTTCATGAGTTCAAGCCCCGCATCAGGCTCTGTGCTGACAGCTCAGGGCCTGGAGCCTGATTCGGATTCTGTGCGTCTCTCTCTCAGCCCCTCCCCACTCCCCCCCCCCGCTCTCAAAAATAAACATTAAAAAATGATTTAGCCATATGCTGTCTATGCGGTCTACCAGAAACTCACTTTAAAAAAAAAAAAAAAAAAAAGAAACTCACTTGAGAGCAAAAAATACAAATAGGCTGAAAATGAAAGAGTGGGGAAAGTTATTCCATGCAAATAGTAATCAAAAGGCAGCAAGGGTGAATGTACTAATATCAGACAAAGTAGACTTTACATCAAGAATTATTTAAGACACAAAGGAAGATGTTACGTATTCATAAAAGGGTAACTCCATCAAGAAGGTATAATAATTATAAACATACACACCTAACAACAAAATCCTAAAGGAATATGAAGCAAAAATGGACAAATTTGAAGGAGAAATACGCACTTCTACAAGAGTAGTTGGAGATGTCAGTGCCCCACTTTCAATGAAGCACAGAACAACCAGACAGAAGATCGACACAGGACCTGAGCACACCGTAAACTAGTGAGGCCAAACCGACACACACAGAACACTCACCTACAAACACCAGAATGGACCTCCTTCTCCCAGGATAGATCATAAATTAGGTCACCAAACAAAACTGCAATAAATTTTAAAAGGTGGAAATCCTGCAAAGTATCATTTCCAATCACAATGGAATGAAACTAGAAATCAATAAACAAAAAGTAGACACTTCACAAATGTGTGCAAATTACACAACAGACTCTGAACTACTGGGTTAAAAAAGAAGTCAAAAGATATGGAAGCAGCCCAAGTATCCATCGACGGATGAATGGATAAAACAGATGTGGGTAAAACAGATAAAACAGATGTGAGGGGCGCCTGGGTGGCTCAGTCGGTTAAGCGTCCAACTTCGGCTCAGGTCGTGATCTCATGGCTCATGAGTTCAATCCCTGAGTCGGGCTCTGTGCTGACAGTGAGGAGCCTGAAGCCTGCTTCCGATTCTGTGTCTCCCTCTCTCTCTGCCCCTCCCCTCACTTGTGCTCTGTCTCTCTCAAAAATAAACATTTTTAAAAATGGAAAAAAAAAAAAGATGTGAGACACATACACACATAGTGGAATATTACTCAGCCATAAAAAAGAATAAGATCTTGCCATTTACAATTGAAGGACCTAGAAGGCATTATACTAAGTGAAGTAAGTCTGACAGAGAAAAACAAATACCATATGATTTCACCCACTCATGTGGAATCTGAAAAACAAAACAAACAAAAAGCAGAAACAGACCCATAAATACAGAAAACAAACTGTTGGGGTGCCAGAGGAGAAGGGGCTGGGAGGACGGGTGGAACAGGCAAAGGGTATGAACAGGTACAAACTTCCAGTTATAAAACAAAGAAGTCACAGAGATGAAAAGTAGCACATAGGGAATACAGTCAGTAATGTTGGTATAACGTTGTGTGGTGACAGGTGGGATGTGGTGAGCACTGAGGACGATGTGGAACTGTAGAATCACTAGGTTGTATGCCTGGAACTAACATTACATTGTATGTCAACTATACTGCAATACTTTGGGGAAAAAAAAGAATCTATACAATGTATACTATATTCTACGATTAGCTTGCAATTGTTTTGCTGTAAAAAAATAAAAGAACTACCTTGAAAATCCCCCATCAAAGGAAAGGAAAGGAAAGGAAAGGAAGGAAGAAGGGACAAATCAAAAGACCAACTAGAAAATGCTTCGAGACAAAAGAAAATGAAAACACAACACACTGAAATTTATGGGATGCGGCCGGAGCAATGCTGAGAGGAAATCTATACCTGTAAATGCCTACATTAAAATGGAAGAAGGGGGTGTCTGACCAGCTCAGTGGGTGGAGTGTGAGGTTCTTGATATCCGGGTCCTGAAAAAAAAGGAAAGGTCTCAAATCACTGACCTAACTTTACACCTCAATGAACTGGAAAAAGAAGAGCAAATTAAGCCCAGAGCTAACAGAAAGAAGGAGATGATAAATAATTAGGGTGGAGGGCAGAAAAACAAAAGAGGAAATCAATGAAACAAAGTTGGTTCTTTGAAACAATCAACAAAATTGACAAAGTTTTGACTAGACTACCAAGAAAAAGAGAAAGTGGACCTTCAAACTGTTGAAATCAGAAAGGAAAGTGGGTCCATTACTATTGATTGTCCAGAAATAAAAAGGATTTTAAGAGAATACTGTGTTGTACACCAACAAACAAGAAACCTAGATGAAATTAACGAATTCTAGAAACACACAAATTACCAAAACCGATTAAAGAAGAAATAGCAAGTCTGAACATACTTATAACAAGTAACAAGATTGAATCAGTAATCAGAAATGTACCAACAAAGAAAATTCCAGGACCGGATGACTTCACAGGCTAATTCTACCAATCATTTAAAGAATGGACAAACACCAATCCTCTCAAACCCTTCCAAAAAATACAAGAGCGGAGAAACACTTCTTAACTCATTCATTCTATGAGACCAGTACCACCCTGATGCCAAAGCCAGATAAAGACATCATAAGAAAACTTAATAACCAATATCCATTATGAATATACATGTAAAAATCTCAACAAAATGCTAGCAAACAGCACCCGTAGCTCATCAACGGGATTATATACCATGACCCAGCATGATCCCCTCCAGAATGCAAGGTGGTTCGACATAAAAAGACCACTTAATGTAATACACCACGTTAATAGAGGGAAGGGGGAAAAACACAAGATCATCTCAACTGATACAGAAAAAAACACGTGACAAAACCCCACACCCTTTCAAGATAAAAGCACTCAACAAACAAGGAATAGATGGGAACTTATGAAAAATCCACACCTCGTGTCATATTCAATGTTTAAAGACTGAAAGCCTCTCCCAAAGATCAGGGAAAAGCCCGCTTTTATCATTTCATCTTTTCAATGTTGCACTGGAAGCTCTAACTCCGGCAATTTGGCAAGAAAGAGAAATAAAACGCATCCAAATTAGAAAGGAAGAAG